AGATCAGACTGACCTCAAAACTCACAGACATCTGTCTGCCTCTGCTGGACTAAAGACTTGAGCCACCACACTCAGATTTTTTTTTTTTTTTTTTTTTTGGTTTTTCGAGGTAGGGTTTCTCTGTGGCTTTGGAGGCTGTCCTGGAACTAGCTCTTGTAGACCAGGCTGGCCTCGAACTCACAGAGATCCTCCTGCCTCTGCCTCCCGAGTGCTGGGATTAAAGGTGTGCGCCACCAACGCCCGGCCACACCCAGCTTTTAAATCATAATTTTCAACCCCTAATATAACTCTAGACTCAGGAAAATAATCAAAACTAACAGTACTGGATGAAAAAAGCACAGGCTCTCAAGCCTCACAGGGTCAGGGTTGTAATCACAGTAGGGAGGGTACAGTGAAGCACAGCTGAATACACTTAAGTGACCTGCCAAGCCCACCCTGTCCGTGCCTCATGGCACCCATGATCACCCAAATCCATCTAATCTGGAGGAAACAGACAAATACAGTGTAGGCAATCTACAGGGCACCAGGCTAGAGTTCTACAAGAGTCCAACTCTGGCTGGGCAGTGATGGCACACACTTTTTAGTTCCAGCACTCAGGAGGCAGAGGCAGGGGGATCTCTGTGAATTTGAGGCTAGCCTGGTCTACAGAGTGAGTTCTAGGACAGGCTCCAAAGCTACCCTGTCCTGAAAAACAGCAACAACAACAACAAAAAAGAGTCCAACTCTGAGTTCAAAACCAGTCAGAGTTACATAGTAAGAAAGGATCTAACCAAGATTAAAAGAAAATAAAGAGTTATTACAACCAATGCATTGTGTACACGCTGCTTGGATCCTGGACATTCTAACAGCCATAGGTACATGTAGGAATAACTGGAGAAGTTGGCACGTTAAAAGACAGTGTTGGGGCTGAAGAGATGGCTCAGTGATTAAGAGCACTGGTTTCTCTTACAGGGAACCCAGGTCCTATTCCCAGCATCCATGTGGTGACTCATAGCATCTTTAACTTCTGTCCTCCGTGAACACTACATGCATGTGGTAAACACACACACACACACACACACACACACACACACACACACACACCAAGCAAGCAAACAAACAAACACCCATATACCTAACTTACAGATTTTTTTTTATTTAAGGATTGTTTTAATTTTTTTTTAATTTAAAAGATGTTTGGGGCTATTCCATCAGAGGACCTGAGTTCAGATACCAGCACCCACATCAGGTGGCTTACAATCACAGGATCTTACACCCTCTTCCAGCCTCCAGAGGCACTATAGACACGTGCATATTCCCACACACATATACATGTAACTAGAAATTAAACTATAAAGAAACCTTGGTTAAAAAAAACAGATGTTCAGTTTCTTAAATGCAAGGATACACTGCTTGCATGAGATGTGTGTGTGTGTGTGTGCGTGCGTGCGTGCGTACGTGCGTGCGTGCGTGCGTGCGTGCGTGCGTGTGTGTGTGTGTGTGTGTGTGTGTGTGTGTGCATGGCTGCTAGGGATTAAAGCCAAGGCCTTGTATATGCAAGGCAAGCATTGTATTATTGAACTGTGTCTCCATCCCTGACAAGACTGATTATCTTTGCCAACACACTCAGAGGTGGATTTCGTGATGTCTGTATCTTCCTTCCAAACAGCTTAGTAAAATCAGATTAAACAACCGTATATTGAGAAACAGAACACAAATCAGCCAAATGTGAACTATGGGACAGAGATGTTTGTGACATGATTCAACAGTTCTGTAAATCAGAAATGTCACAATGAAATCTTGAAAAATGCAGTTGACTCGGATGCTTCGGGACTTCAGAAACCCACTTCACCGTGCACAGAGGCAAACATGGGAACTGTCTTGGGAGCAGGACCAAGATGCCCAGGTGACAATGAACCTCCAAGGTCCCATCATGGACACCCAGGCAGTGATATTGCTGCCACTGGCTGAAATGGTGACCCCTGAAAGAAGCCATGTTTTAGGTAAGATGATGGGGAGGAGGAGATAAAATAATCAATTCAGACATTAACAAACTCCCCAAAGTTCACATAAAGAATGAGTTATAAGCCCTTGACGTAATAGAAGCACAAGCCTTGGGAGGCGGGCTGCAAGACAGGTCATTGGGTAGAGATGCTTGCTGCTAAGCCTGATTTGATTCCTGGGACCCACACTGTGGAAGAAGAGGACTCCCATGGTCATCCTCTGACCCCCTCCAAAAAAAAACACACATAGACATGATTTTAAAAAAAGATGAATCAGAGAGAGAAATATACAAAACTATGGGGTTTGTGAGAACTATAGATTTTACCTCTACCTATGTGGTAGTACAAAGCTAGGCTGCCTTAGAGAAGGGAAGAGAGAATATGAACAGCCTGGGGAGCAGGACCAAGCTGCTCAGGTGACAAGAAACCTCCAAGATCCCTGCATGGACGCCAAGGCAGTGATGTCTGACCTGTCTCTGGTGCTGTGGACCACAGCACTGGACACTAAGGCAGTGATGTCTGACCTGTCTCTGGTGCTATGGACCACAGCACTGGCCCACTAGTCCTCACTCTGTATGCTTGGACCTCCCCTAAGATGCCCTGGGGAACACAGATCGCAGCACCTTTAGATTCCTTCTTCCCAGGTGCTCTTCCCCAACTGGAGCTTTCCAGGGAGAAGGCGGGCCTTAGGATTTTTAGCATGCTCTTTCAAAGAAGGACAAGGGCCATTTGGTGTCCAAATATCAAGAGATAAGCGATCAAAGGCTCCAAATGCAAGTCCAAACCTAACATTAAACGCAAGAAAGATCAGAAATGACCACATCAGACACATCCATCACCGGGCAGATGCCGATCTCAAAGATATGTGAGTACAACTGAGAAGGGGAAAGTGGGAATCCAAGTGCAGCCCAAATGGTTATGATGTCACTAGGACAAAACCAGATTGTCACCAACTGGAGAAACCCAAACTGCAGTGGGTTCTACGTCATCAGTAGATGCACCGCCCTGAACAGACCGACCAAATTAGCATCTTCACCCTTCTACCAAGTTGACTGCAGACACATCAACAGATCATCATGGCAGAAATAAAATGCTTTCTCACGCTGGCCTCCTCCGGTTACAGAGTCTGACCATGGCCAATGGAAAAGCCGAGAACTTTTCATCATCGAACACATTTGTGAAACGCGTTGGCTTTAACAAACTGTTCCCCACACACCTGGCCTGCGTGGTCTCCTCTGACCAGAGCATGCTATATCATATCCAGAAAGTGCTTACAGGCTCCCACTTGCAATGGAAAAACACTAGCAGCTGACAGAAAAGTGAAACCCTATCTTGGCTTTGGAGAAATGGTCCCACCAGGGAAACGCATAAGACTATTTGATCAGATTTAATAAGCTTTAACATAATCCAGGTGAGGGCTCTATCTGGAAAAAACAGATGACTCTTGTGAACAGCTCCAGGAAATCATTCAGGAAAGGAAAAAGGATACAAAGCCCGGTCACAGGAAAAGGTGACCAGGAGTGAGTCTCCACAGATAGAAAACTGAAGATGCCCATCTCATGTGTCATGTTTTCTCTCAAGTGTGGTTGCTGGATTTTATTTAGTCACATAAAACCATGTGTATACATATTAAATGCAGATAGAAGTAAGGCTGCCTAGGGAATTGATGGGAAGGGGAGACGGTAAAGAGAGGATAAGGAGCGAGAAATATACTCAACACACAATACAGAAAAACATTTTTTAAAAACAGAAATCTCAGATGTCTTAAGGTTGAGAGGACTTTTTCCATTTCCCTCCATGCCTTGAAGCTTCATTCTTTGTCTTAGAAGTAATCAATTTTAAAATCTCCCTCTCCAGTCAAGAGGTGTTGTCACATACCTTTAATCCCAGCATTTGGGAGGCAGAGACAGGAGAACCTTTGTGAGTTCTAGGCCCATCTGGTCTACAAAGCAAGTTCCAGGACAGCCAGGATAACAAAAAGTCCCCTCCGCTTCTCTGAGACACTATGCAGGCCAAGCAGGACTGAAACTCAGAATCTCCTTTCTCCATCTCCTGAGGGCTGGGATTACAAGTGTGTACCACCATACCTGGCCCAAAACATTATTTTATAATCCTTCACACACAGAGACTGCAAACAAGATCGTCTTGGAACCAACAATAAATATAACTAGCCTATAATATTCTGAAGGTGGGGCACAAGCGACACCATTCCTGAGAAGCAGTTCCTTGTCCTAGGAAGACCTGCTGTATTTTATGTGCAGAGGCGCAAGGCCATGTCTGCCACTCAGGAGAGCTTGGTTTGCCATGTGTGAGCACTCAGCGACATATAGGCATGCTGTTTATAGAGCCCTAGTGTGCCCTCGTTGGCCTTAAATTTGAAACCCTAAGCCCCAGTATGAGTCTCTGCTAAGAATAGGGCTCTCCAAGCCTACAAATGCTGACAGAGCCAGGAAGGGAATGGTTCCCACTGTGGGAAAACCCAAAAGATGGATCAAGGCTGCATCCTGAGCAATAGATCCACTGAAAATACTATTCAAGTCATCACAAGTTCTGCCACAGAGCCCCAGGGGTCCTGAGGACATTCTGTCCTAAATATCCAATGACCTGGGACACAGGGGTGACCCCACAAAAGCATACTGACACTTAAAGGTGGTTGCATGAAATGAGGGCAGGTATTAGGTCCTTCAAGGGAGGTTTTAAAGTCTGTGGCTAAAATCCAACTCAATTATAAAATGAATCTTCACTCTTGGGGAAGAATAAGCTAAGGACTGCAGTGTTATGGAATCTAATGGTTTTTCTATTCAAATTTCACAGCCAAACATCTGTGAAATGAAACCAGCAATCCTTGATGGGCTTCCACGAAAGGGACCGCCCCAGGGGTTAAGAGGTGGTGAGAACTTGCCTGCACAGTCGAGGACATGCCCCCACATTCCCTGCGCCCAGCCCCATGAATTGTAAAAAGTAAAACAAAAGAAACACACAAGAAACGATCACTCAGAATCATCATCAACCCTGGGCCACTTTTTATCATAATATATTTGCCAACATCTAAGGGACAGATCTGCAGGGGGTAAATTTTCTGTTCACAGTCCTTCAACAACATAGAGATGGCCAAGGGACAAGCACATTGGTAGATGGGAAATGTCATTTTTCAGCCTCACAGGCAAGTGGTTTTGAACACATAAACAATTAAGGTATGATTTCAGTAGATCTTTGTTTAAATCTATGCAGTCTCTTATTGACCAACCCTCCTCCCATATCCCAAACAGAAGTTACAAACCCAAGAGAAGGTTGACACATCTTTTATGTACAAACAGGCTGGTGATACAAATGAAATTCTTTTTATAAATACCTTGAGTGAATGGGAACCCTCTGAGTGCGAAGAATCTAGCATGTCCTTCCTGGTACTGCCCAAGTAACCTACTCTTAACTGAACACTTGTGGGGGCTCTTGGGAATGCCAGAAGCCCCTCTGGACCTAGGCAGGAACCTTGTCACCTCCCCACAGAGGAGAGGTGACACATTAAGTCATCTGCTACCCAAGACCTGGGTGTGATTAACTCTTCTTCCCTAACAACTTGAGTCTGTTTCCTAGCAGTGGCCCAGACAGAGGGGGGAAGGGGACCCAAAATAGTGTGAGGAAGTAAAAAACTCTGGGTATTTTGATTAAAAAAAAAAGAAAAAGAAAAAGAAGAAAACTTGATAATCAGTGAAACCCTGTCAAGCCAATGTATCAAATTCACCAAAGGGAAAAATACTAACATTCCCTGTAGGAAGATCATCACTTAGCACCAATTTCTCTGACTCTAGAGTTTTTCCTTTCCCTTCAAGCCCTTGGCTGTGAGAGGCTGTGGGGCTCAGCTTAGCCTCATCGATACTTTGAATCAGTAACCGAGTGTGAGGGGCAGTGGTCACACGCCATCGCAGAGGCCCCCGGGGTGTCATGCTGCCTGGGGAAAGCGAGTGGCCACACAACACGGTCTTCTTCCTGGCCTCTCCAGGCTCCCAGCTTTACTCGAAGCGGCGCAGGTGGTTGTACAGTGACTGCACGTAGGTGAAGACACACATAGGGTCAGGCTTGTGGCCCATCACCATCATGTCCTCGACTTCAATGAGGCGCTCACAGCTGGCCAGATTCCTGAAACACAGAAGCCGCATCAGAGCATGGTCCCGGTGAACAACCAGCCCCACAACTAGGCATTCGTCAATGTCCCCAATCAGAATTCGCCAAGAGCCTGGGGTGTTCAAGGGCACCAAAAGACAGTATGAGTACTCCAAGAGCCTTGGTAGCGGCTGAGTTCGTGCCTCATTTCCCAGGCTCCCACAGCCACAGACCGCCTATGCAGTTCACATAGAAGTAGGGATATAACCCATGTATCACATGGCAAATCAGCAAGAACTGTGAAAGCAAATATAAAAGTAAATTTAGTTAGTTAGTTAGTTTTGTTTTTTTTTGAGATGGAAACTTGCTGTGTAGCTGAGCCTAGACCAAAACTTCTGAGCCTCCTGTCTCAACCTCCTCAATGATGGAATTATGATCATTTGCCTTCATGCCCAGCTCTGAAATAGTCTTTTAAACTTAAAAACAAATAAACAAACAAAAACCATGACCCAGGGGATGGAGAGATGGCTCAGAGGTTAAGAAAATGCACTGTTCTTCCAGAGGACCTGAGCTCAGTCCCCAGCGCCCACATCAAATAACTCACAACCATCTGTAAATCCAAGGTGTCTGATGGCTTCTGGTCTGCCAGGGTACCTGTACTTATGAGCCCATAAACACATGCAGACATACAGACAAACACATCTATACACAATTTAAAAAATTAAAAAACCAAAAACCTTGATCCAGCCAGGCACTGTGGCCCACTACTTTAATCCTAGCACTTGGAAGGCTGACACAGATGGATCTCTAAGTATGAGGCCACCTGGTCTACATAGTGAGTTCTAGGCCACCCAGAGTTACACAATGAGACCCTGTCTTAAAAACAAAACAAACAAACAAATGAAACCACAGGACTTTCAGGGCTGGAGACATAGCTCTTTCAGGGCTTGCCTTACAAACACAAGGACATGGTGAAATCCCCAAAACCCACATTTAAAAAAAAAACACAGGCATGATGGTGCATACTTGTAATCCCAGCACTGGGGGGATGGGAGAGGCAGTTACAGACAAGCAAATCCCTGGGGCTCCCTGGCCAGCCAGCCTAGCCTGCTTGATGAGCTCCAGGCACCTGAGGAATGATACCTGAGTTGTCCTTTGGCCTACACACATGCACACACACATGCACACACGACCCACAGTAAGGAAGGTGATTTTAACCATGAGTCAGCAAACACATAATGCTGCTGACCCTCTGTAATTACACTCAAGGTTTCAACACATCTTATATCAAAAATACTAAAGATACTAAAGATACCTGATGCCCTCTTCAGTCATCTTTAGGCACCTGCATACAGATGAGCATGCACACACAAAGATACATAGATACACATAAATAAAAATAAATCTAAAATACAAATATTAAAGAAAAAAGCACATCAGTATTAAAAATGTAAACCCATTAAGAACAGCTCCCAGGGGAGATGGCTCAGTGGGTAACAGTTTCCTATGAAAGCATGAAGCTCTGGGTTCAAATCCCCAGCACCCCATCTGAGCAAAGACAGGCAGATCCCAGGAGTTCATTGGCTAACCAGCCTAGCTGAAACAGTGAGCTGCCAGTTCAGTTGAGAGACCCTGTCTCAAGTCACTAAGGCAGACAGCAATAGAGGAAGACGCCACTATCTACCTCTGGCATCTGCATGCACACACGTGGGTACACACAACCATACATTCATGGGCATACCCTCCTCCTCTCTCTCTCTCTTCTCTGCAGAGCAGATAATGGGAGAAAGAGGCCTGGATGTGAACTATAAACTGCTAGTTCAGATGCCAACGCCGACAATCCTTCCACCTGTCAGTGTCCATTTCCTGGGCAGTCGGTCAGAATCCACCTCTGCTCACCCGACTCCCAGCAGGCTGGTTGGAAGGCTATGGTTTCGTATTGTCTTTATGTACCTTGCTCCCCAGAGCCCAGCCAGATGGGAGACCCCAGCAGGCAAGCCAGGGATCCTCAGACCCAGCCCAGAACTTACAGCCAGCTCAACAGGATTCATGCAACACTTTTACAGCTGCATGAACCCCCAGACAAAGACTGTAACATTAGCACCACTGGGCTCTGCTCTGGAAAGCTGGCCAGAGACCAAATGTCAAGGCGAAATGGAGACATCTGTCCCGGATCCCGTTCCCGCCTCTCACCTTCCCCTAGGGCTGCAGAGAGGGACTTGTATGGGAACCCAGAGGTTACATGGAGGTGACAAGTGAGTTTGGCACCCTTTCTCCCCAAAACAGACAAAGGCTGGGCTTGGCATCAGAAATGTAGGCATGAAGGGTGCTCTGTAGCCAAGAATTGAACATTCTTGAGTTCTTCAAAGGCTGGAGACCTGAGTTTACCTTTCACGGCTATCCCTTGTCATCTGGTGCCCCACCCCCACATTGCAGGGAGAACCCCAGCTTCCCACATACTCTCTCTCTCCCTCTCTTACTTTCTCTCTGTCTGTCTGTCTATCTGTCTGTCTTTCTCTCTCTCAGGTCTGCTACTCAGAAAGCCTCAGGTACATTCAGACCAGCCCCAAATGTGTTCATAGGGTGATCACTGTTGGTGGTAGCTTCAGTGGCCACTGTGATGGTCACTTTGATGGTCTCTCATGTTAAGTGAGCACAGCCCTAGAGTCTCAGGATCTCGACTTTGGAGGAGAACTCACATAGTGCCTTGTCCCCACGAAGGCTCTCCCTCCATGTGTTCCCCCTCCCCCAGGTCCAGGACTGGACTGAGACTGACCCCTACTGCAGGAAGCTTTAGCCACCAGGAACTTGTCCCTTAAGGCATGGATGTTCCTTTGCTTCCTTGTGCATTTTACCTTATTCCCCCAAGACTGTCCTCAGCTAACTTTCCCCCACCACTAAAAAGCCCCTCATATGCTGGAATAGAGCCTTTGCACGCTCAGTGCCTTCCGACTCCTCTCTAGCCCACTTCGGGGTTATTCAGAGTTGCTTGCTTGTTCCAGATGTTCCTGGCCTGTGCAAAAGACACCAAGCAAACCCCTCCTTCCTTCTCAGGCTTGGAACACACTCCAGCCAACACCCCCATGCCCTGCCCAGGAAGCAAGTCTTTCAAATATGGGTAGCCACAAAGATAGAAGGGAAGGCCTCCCCCTGGTGTCACCCTCTACTGCCCTGACGGGAAGTCACTGACAAAATGCTGGTCTTCCCTGCAGGCAAACAGAGGACTGGTCCCCATGCCATCCCACTGTTGTTTCCAAGTTGAACAGATGGGGGTGGGTGCACTTTCTAAGAAAGAATCTCAGCATGCCACCATCGCTCAGGACTCTTTCCTAGACCACCTCTGCCCTTCACTCAGTTCCTTCTCTGAGGACTTCCAAATTCTCCAGCTTCCAGGTCCAACGCCCTTAGGGACACTTTCCTTTCACCCCAGCTTGTCCCTGCTGACAGAACATGCTCCTTCAGAGACACTGTGGTGCCAGCTACAAAGGCAGCAATACTCCTCGAACCGGCAAACAGGAAAGCACGGGGACACTTGATGGAGTGTGTTGCAGCCAGCCATCTAGCTCCAAGGAGACAGAATTTAAGATAGTGATGGCTACCGCTGATTTTTATCAAAAGATGCAAGTCTCAAAATATTAGAGAGACCCCAACTGGTCTTTACATTTAAGAAAAGAGGGATTGCTTTTGTTAAAATGATCCAGGCTTGTTTTAAATAATCCAAACTACATGGAGAAGTCCACAAAACTTGGATGATTTCAAATGTCACCCCACAGTCTGAAAAGCAAGGATGACACTGGCTTATTAAGACGCACTTTGAAGGATTTCTTTTATTCTTTAATGTATCTTCAGCTACCCCAGGCCACAGAGAAGGGGCTGGGGGTAATTTTTAAGACTGTCCTAAATGCAGACCAGTGGTGGGACTGCTGCCTCCTGTCTTGTTTTAGACAGAGACACATGGGCACTACAAATAGCGCTCAAGCCCCTTCTGCTGGGTGTAACTGGAGAGCAGGCGCATTCCGTGCAGGGCAAGTGGGAAGCCTTGGGCTGCGAGATCCTGCAGCTTCCTGTGCTATGGCAGGGGTGGGAAGGGAAGGTGCAGAAGGGTCAAGCACCCGCCCTGCTTTGCCCCTTCCATAAAAGGAGCTACTCTGCCCTTGTTCCAGACCCTAAACACCTGTCAGGCAAGGGACGATTTTGCTGTCAGCAAGACGTCACTCACACAGATTAGGACACAAGGAACCTCTGGGCCCAGAAATTACTGAGGGGGGGCAGCATACACATTTACTCCCAAGATTCCTGGTGTATTTTGTGCCCTGAAGATACTTGCTCATGGGAGGATCTGGAAGCATTCCTTTCCTGGATGATTCGTTTGAGAACACGATCAAGTCTTTTCTCTTCTAAAGGTCATGCCTTGGTTGGATACCAGGTTCCTCTCAGCTCAGGCTGTCTGCTCCCAAAGCCGTCTTTTTGGGTCACTCTCTGCACTAGCGGCTCTTGATGACTTTCAAAGGTACCATGTATCCACCCAGATGTCGCTGGCTAACCTAAGCTGCTGACACTGGCTCCAATACCCTCAGGCAGGTGTCCCATGCAGCTTTTCTCACCAGCTATTTATTGTCCAAAAACCAGGGATCCAAGCAGCTGCCTTCCCAGGAGGCCCTGGGAGTGAGTCCACCTCCACAGCCCACTCTCCCTTGTACCTGAGAGATAATCTCACAGATGACTCATAAGGGGAGGTACCATCCCAGGCTCTGAGTAAGTTCCCCACACAGACTTGCCCCTGATGGCCCTCCCCACTCTTTGCAGTCAACAACAACAACAACAAAAAACAAAAACAAAAACCAGAACTCATCTCAGAGGCCCCATCACACCCTGATCCCCTCCCCAACTGGGAGCAGACTCAGGCCAAAGGGAAGCAGGGCCAAGGCCTATCCTGCTGTTTGCCTGGGGAGAGAAGGGAGCCAAAGCCTGGCCCAGCCACCACCCTCCCCCCAGGTTGAGAATAGAAGAAACATCTGTGTGGAGTCTGGAGACTCTGGGCTTGAATACCTCCTGCTGGGAAAGCCCCTCCTGGAGGCATTCTGCCCTGACTGCCTAGGGAAGCTGTGTTCCTTAGAACCTGAGGCACAGGGCCATCACCACATTGTCCATCCCTTTCCCCGCTACAGGCCAGTTGGATCCTTGGCTATAGGTGACCAGGGCATAAGATGGCATTGCTTAGCCCTCTAGGCGTCAAGAACTCTGTAAGCCAAGCCTGGACTCAGACTGGGGTGAGTTTTGGGGTGCCTAAATGGGAGCCCTGATCCCACACATTCTGGTCTGATTTTTGACAGCACCATTCCTGAGTTTCAAGCAGCTGGGCCTCTTCCTATAACCAACCACCCCTCCCGACATCATGCCACGACACTTGGCTTGAGTCCACCATCGTCTGGATCCAGTTGCATAACACACTCGTCCAAGCTGTTTCTGCTATTAGGATGACAGCTAATCCCAAGCAGCCAAGACAGGGAAGACTTTGAAAGTACACAAGGCGTTCCTCTGACCCCAAATGGACCTAGAATCCAAATCAACACAACAGGCATGAACCCCTATCCCCAAGCCTCAGGCTGAGGATCTCCAAGTTCGATCTCCCATTGTGCCCCTATAGTGAGTGAGCACTTCTACCCTAGAGAGAGGCAGTGGCTGTGGCTTCAGGCAGGCTTCCAGTACCAAGCATGGGTTATGAGACCCCTTGTCTCCACTCCCGCCTTCCCTATCCAGGTTCAGGTCCTCGTGTGGTGCCTGGGCTGGAAATAGGATGAAGATAGCAAGGAAAACATGGGGTGGGGCCTCCTTCACCCCATCACTTGAGGACAAGTAAAGATGGGGGACCTGAAGGCTCAGTCAGGACAAACACGGTCCCTCGGAGGCTGCAACTTGTGATTCGGCACAAAGGCACTTTGGAGCTGCCCTTCCTTTCCTCTCTGCCTCAGCAGTCTGTGATAGGTCCTGACCCTCTTGCCCTCTGACTGGGGTTAACCAACAAGAGGCCCTGGGGCAAAGACAGGCGGGGCAATGAGGTCAGAGCGTTTATCTGGGCAGGCTCCTCCCCGCTCTCAGAGTGAGCTGGATGCTTCCTGGTGTCCACAGCTTAGATGGTCTTAAGTAGCCTCAGCACCAGCCGGGGCAGGCCCAGGGCTTATAGCAGTCTTCCCCAACTTACCCCTAGGAGTAACACACAGAAGGCTGGGGCCAGGGTTTGCATATGGCTTGTGTTCACCCAAACTGTGCTGAGACACAGTCCCTAACATAACAGGGTTGAGGGGTAGTGTGGCTTTTGAGAAGTTGCTGCCCTGACACACCTGCCCCTGTCTCATGTTCCTGCCCCCCTCAGAGTCTTTATAAGAAACACCCCGGGGCCGGGCGTTAGTGGTGCATGCCTTTAATCCCAGCACTGGGGGGGGGGGCAGAGGCAGGTGGATCTCTGTGAGTTCGAGGCCAGCCTGGTCTACAGAGCGAGTTCCAGGACAGCCTCCAAAAAAGCCACAGAGAAACCCTGTCTCGAAAAAAAAAAAAAAAAAAAAAACAAGAAACGCCCCGGGACTGTTCTTCCCTGCTGTTAACTTGACTGGATTTAGAGTTCCCACGGCAGGACACCCCTCTGGGTGTGTCTGTGAGAGTTTCCACAGAGGTATAAATGAGAAGGGAAAACCCATCCTGAACGAGGGTGGCTCAGCCTCACGGGTTGGGGGGGGTCCCTGTATCAAGCAAAAAGAAGAAAATGCACTGGCTCTTTCTGCTTCCCTGGATACAATGTGATGAGCTGCCTCAAACTCCTGTCGCCTTGCTTCCCTCAAACTGTGAGTCACAAAGTAAATAAACAAGTTCCTTTAAAACCTTTAAAAAACAAAAACAAAACAATAACAGCAAAAAAAACCCTTCTTTCCTTGGATGCTTTTATCCAGATACTTTGTCACAGCAATAAAAAAGTAACTAATATACACCCTGCCCACCTGGAATACACGCCCTACCCAGCTGGAATACACACCTGTGACCCACAGGGTCCTGACAACTCTCAGCATCTGAGGGTTGCTCTTAGCCACAAACCAGATCCCAAACGGGTTTTCCAAGCACATCCTGATCCCAGAACTGCACTCCCTTCCCCCGATCCTCTCCCTATGAGTGGGACATACACAACAAGTGTCATAGTTTGAATGTGGCTTGCCCCCACCCAAACGCATGTTGAGGCCTGATCCCTACTATGATGGTGTTGAAAGGCAGTGGGGGCCTGAAGAGTCAATTAGATCATCAGGAATCCACCCTTATGCAGGGATTAATGTGGTTCTCACAGAGTAGATTAGTGATCTCAAGAAGAGCTTGTTATAAAGTGCCGTGTGCCCTGTGTCCCTCCTCTCTGACAGAGGCCTTGCACTTTCCATCATGAACTGAAGCAGCACGCAACCCTCATCAGAGACCAAGCAGACCCCAGCACCATGATCCTGAAGGTCCAGCCTACAGAACCAGGTACCAAAATAAACCTCTTTATGAATCACCTAGCCTCTAACGTTCTGTTACAACAACAAAGAACAAGCCTTAGGCCAGAGGCAATTTCACAGTCCGTGCTATGACAGTATTTCGGGAAACATAATCTATTTTTAAAATATACCAGGCAATCCCAGTTTCCTGCTGAGACCTTGACAACAGTGCCCCTACCCCACTCCCCCCAGACTCTGTCTGTGGCTAGTTTCCCAAACAATAGAGCAGAGGCTAAACACCCAGCAAGGAGGCAGGAACAGTATCAGCTCTGAGTAAAATGGGACCCTGGACACATCCTTCACCAGCCTCAGTCTTCCCATTCATGTAAGAGAAAGACAGACAGACTGGATGGCCTCACGGTCCCTCAGCTTACTGTAAAGTGCTATCCTGTGTGCCCTGACTTTCCCCAGGGCAGAAGCTGTGCTCGGGGTCAGGGCTGGCACCAACAGCCAGTGGGACCTGCCATACTTACTCAGCCATGGTGAAGGCCAGTTCAAAGTTCTTCTGCCGTTGTGTGGGGCTCAGGGCATTGTAGTCGAAGGCATCAGGGAAGAACGAGTGCACCAGCGCACAGAAGGCCATCCCATCACTCCAGCTGGAGGAGAAGTTCTGCAGGTCCACATGCTGCAAGCAGAGGAAGTGGAGGTCAGCAGGAACCCCCACCCTGGCACCCAGTTCAACTCTCTGAGCAGATTTTCCAGCCCCAACTCACTGAGCAACATACCATCGGGGCTGAACCTCACCCCTTGAGGTGCACAACACCAGTCTGCTCAGGTAGAATTTATTTCTAAGCACGCGTTGTGGGCAGCTTGGGTACGGCTCAGAAGGCATGAGTCCCCTGACTCCCATCCCTCCCGAGGCTGGCAGGATCTTGCCCTACTAGCAAGTCAGGGGCAGGTGGGATGCCTGGCTGCCTGGGCCGCTCACCTGGTAGCCCACAGTCTTGCTTCGGCACCACTCTAGCAGGATCTGCTTGATGCTGCTGGCACTGGCCACACCGAAACTCTGTGACCTCTTTAGTTTGGCCCTGGTCTCACCTTTGCCCCTGTGGAGAGAGGGCAAGCCTGCTGCGGGAGCCAATGGAGAGAACATTCCTATACCTTCTGGTCAGCACTCAACCCACGTGCTACAGCACAGTGCCAAGCACCAGCCATGCAGCCTCCTAACAGTCCCACAGGAAGCAGGGATCTCTGGGTAACCCTGAGACAGAGGATTCTTTCCTTCCCTAGAGCTGAGCACCATCACAGAAGCACGAGCAGCTACCTGCACTCTGCACTGAATACATCTGCAGAGGAGGCTGGACCTCGTCTCCAAGGAGTCACTGGTATGACCCTGCGTCCCACCGTGCCATTTCTTCAGTCCTCAGGCAAAACCTGCCCCACAGCAAGGCCTCCCCTGCCAGACTCCCAGGTCACGCCCAGAAAATGAAGAAGCAACAATTCAAGTACAAGGATGGCCTAGGAATACTGGAGGAGCAGAAGACTGGAGTATCTGCAAATGGTGGGAGCATCTCTCACTAGCCTGGCCTGGTCCCAAGCCCCACAGGCCTCTTCCCCCTAGAAAGGGAACTCCTCAACCTCAGTCAGGCCTATAAAACAGCCTGACCTTGAGCTCTGCCTAACAGATCTGATCTTAGGAACACCCCACTGGGAAACAACCAGGGCCCGGCAAGCCTTGCTATGCCATGCCTGTATGGCCATGATTGTTGCTGGGCCTGCTCTAGAAGCCCATCAAGCTGGTTTGGGGGTGAATCTCCATACTTGCTTGCTGTCTCCTGCTCCCACTTCTCAAACAACGCCTTCCGAGCCTGTGCCCCTGAGGTACGAGGCAGCGTCTGCGACCTCACCAATTCCCTCCGTCGCTCTCCCTGGCGAGGGGCCTGAGTCATTGCTGGAGACTGCGAGGACGGGGGTGACTGTGGTGGAGTCACCAATGGAGGGCTGAAGAGAGAATCATGAAGTCAGGAACACAGAACCGGCCTTCACTAGGCACTCTCCTGAGCCCCACATGCCGAGTGGGCACAAGACGGTGAGGTAGACAGCCTACACCTATGACAGACCCCTAGATCTTGGAGGGACAGTGGGGGGGCAGGTACCACCTGCTCAGGCCCCAACTGGTTTTGCAGGTTTTCTGAACTGAGCTGCTGCTGGTGGTGTACCTGGCCAGCGGGCCCAACTGGGGAGGTAGAGTGGGCCCCACTCAAGGCACAACACCCACCCCTTGGGGAGGGCATGGGGTATACCCATAACTAGACCCACGTCCCTCCCCCACATCTAGATAGGACCCTCTTTGTTCTCCCCCTGAAATGATCTGCCAGGAAGTCACAATTCTCCTTTTATTATTAAAAAAAAAAAAGCCATCTCGCTACCCTGCCCCCATTCTAATATCCAATCAGTCAGCTGAAGTTAGGCTTACCCCAAGGGAAGGCCCTGCTATCTCCCTAACCCTGGGCCTCTCCAGGCACCTGCTCTTCCTATGGCAGAAAGTACCTCACTCAGAGGTCCCCCAGCCAGAATGGAGAACAGAAAGCCAAATGTCATCCAGCCCACCTTCTTCCCGGAGAGGTTCACACACACACACACACACACACACACACACACACACACACACACACACACACACACCTTTCTAATGGACTTGCTTTGAAGGTGAGAGAAGCTGACCTCACTGCAGCCTCGGTCACCTCCCTCCTCAGCTCCAGCCCTGTCTGCCAGCACACTGCTCTCGTTCTGCAGTGTCCCTAGACAGTCCGCCCAGAGAGAGACCCTTGCAGCTCAGCTCCAGGCAGAGAGAGCAGCCACAGACTCACCTGTCCTTGTGCTTGTCTGCTGTCACTGCTCCATACCCTGAGCCAGACAAGGACCGCATGAAAGAGGAATTTTTCTCTACAGGACCAAGGGAAGACAGAAACAAGAGGGAATGTGGTGACAGGTGGGCTGGGGTCTGGCCTGCGCGTCCTGAGTCTCCTGTCAACCCCCCACCCAGTCCCTGTCCTCTCTCATCCACCCTGAGGGCCCCAAACCCCCTCTCGTCATACCAGTGGGACTAGGAGTCCAGGGGCTGATGGCCTCGCTAGGGCTTGGGCTAAAGCTCCCCAGAATGGCAGCAGATGTGGGTGACAGAGCTGAAGCTGAGGTCTCCCCAGAGAATTTCTCAGAGACTCGGGTGACAGCTGTGACCGGCTGGTGGGGCTGCCGTAAGGAGAGGCTCACAGGGCGTGGCCTAGGGGGATCCGGGGCTGAGGAGATTTGAACCTCAGAAGCTCCATTGGCTGAACCTGTAACGCATGATCAACCAGGATAAGTCAGCTATGGCAACCACTTAAGTCTCAGATTCCCCAGAACCAGGCAAGGAGGGCTCTAGGCTCCCTGAGCCTTCCTCCCACTGCTTCAGGAAGCCTCCCTGACACTCCAGTGTCCCTTACCTCCATTACCACCTAAGTCTGACTGCACCACTCAGACCCGATTCTCCCCAACTTCCCCAGGTGCCAGCGCAGTAAACCCTAAATTGCCTGTCAGTCCACCCACATCTGGGAATGGACGATTTCTCAGTCTTTTGCTTGCTTTCTTCCAGAAATAGGGAAGCTCGCTCCCTTGAACTCCCATTTCTCTGTGTATTTTATCTATTTTGTTTTGCTTTGATTTGTTTGTTGAGATAGGGTGGGCAGTTGATGGGTGTGTACCACCATGGCTATCTCTCTTTATTTTTAAAGTTTTCCCCTGCAGTCTCTCTGCCTGGTGGGGTTCAGCCTCAAGCACTTGCCCACACAGGCAAGAGATGGCTGGGACAGATACCTGGCTGAGGCTCTGAACCTCAAACCTACCCCGTCACCTCCCTTCCGCCATAGGCTCCTACCTGCACCCAGCTGGTGTCCATTCTCCATAATGCATGAGTTCGAAGCTCGTCTCGCCTCGAGATCACCGACTTCATCATGTTCCACGCTCTGTGGAGTCACCAACACCACTACCTGTCAGTGGGAGCCAGCTGCCCACCCAAAACCCCATCAACTGCCCACCCTAAAGGCACTTCCCAAAATTCCTTCTGGCTCTGGTGGTGAAAACCTCCCTCATTTGGGGAAGAAAGGATCCCCAATGGGAGGTACAATGGTGAGCAATGGTTCAGAGAAAAAAGATGAACCCCACCTAGTTCCAGGAACTCCAACAACCTGAGAGGCTAGTCCCAGAGCCCAAGGCTGAGGATAAAGGTTGTTTAGAAGCAGTGTGTTAGACACACAAACACACACACACACACACACACACACACACACACACACACCAGGCCTCTGCCTGCCACAGCTAGGACTGTCCACATGGAAGAAGCAGACATGGTGAGGTGCAAGGTCTTTGAGGCCAAAGATGGACAAGGAGCCGGGTAACCCCGAGCTTCTCTATCAGACACAGCAACACAAGAGTTCCCAGACATAGTGTGTGCAGATCTGGTTGCCTCTACACACTGTCCGGCCTCACAGGGCTACAGCAGGGCTGGGACATAGAAACAAACGCCAAGAGGGGAGTGTCAGGGGAAATCCTGGGATCTCAGCTGAGCTACATGGACCATAGCCCATCTCCTCTGGGTCTCAGATCAAGAGCAGGGGCAGGCTATGTAAATGGACGACTAACAAACATCAGGTCCATTTGACAGATGCTACCCTCGGGGTTCAGAGAAGGTACCCACTGCCTATGGAAGTTATTGGGGGTGGGGAACAGCCAGAATGTGTAGTCAAAGGAGAATGCCCCCACCTCTTCCCAGAAAAGGTGTGACAGGCTTAGAGTGTCTATGGAGCTGAGGTTAGAGCATTCAGCATAGCAAAGAGGGACGAAAGCTGTCCTTAACCTGGAGCTCAGCTAAAATCCCATACTGGGTAGCTTGAGTGCTTGCCTGGCTGTGCCGCTCCGATCCTTCCAGGCTACTATTCCTCTGATACATAAGTGTCCCAGACAACAGTTTGTTCCTGACTCCAGGTGAAGCAGGTCCTCATAAGCCAGTGGTGGAGGTGCCCACCTATCCAAGTGGGGAACTGGGCAGGCAGGTGCACAGATGACGGTACTGAGTCGGCTTGGGATACCTAAGGCAGTCCGTCTCCCAGGGGCCAGTAGGGTTCTCTGAAGCAATGTACCCAAAGTGAGCCCTCAGTGAGCTAGGCACCCAGTGACAGAAGCTATTCCCAGGAGAATGAGCGGTGGCAACAAAAGCAGAAAAGTATAAAGGTCCCATACTGTGATCCCACATGACACTGCAGCTCAAGCTACTTGTCTGGGGTCTTTGGACTTTAAGGAGCCTGCAGTGTGATTTAGGGACATATTTCAGAAGCCAGCAAAGGTGGCATTAAAGAAGACAGATCACAGGCCGGGCGTTGGTGGCGCACGCCTTTAATCCCAGCACTCGGGAGGCAGAGGCAGGCGGATCTCTGTGAGTTCGAGGTCAGCCTGGTCTACAGAGCGAACTCCAGGACAGCCTCCAAAACAATACAGAGAAATTCTGTCTCCAAAAACCAAAAGAAGAAGAAGAAGAAGAAGAAGAAGAAGAAGAAGAAGAAGAAGAAGAAGAAGAAGAAGAAGAAGAAGAAGAAGAAGAAGAAGAAGAAGAAGAAGACAGATAACAAGTCAATCCCACAGTCCTGAAAGAGAACTGGGGGGCTGGGGGGAGGGGCAAAGGTGTGAGAAGGCCGAGGGCAAAGAGCTTTGGAGAAAAGGAAGCTGGCTGGCAGAGTGAGCAGATGTGAAGGGAGAAAGGAGAGCCAACCTCTTCCAAGCTCGAGCTTCAGGCCTGAGTGACAAGAAGGCCTGCTGAGGAATACTGGGGAGGATTTCCATTCTGGGCAAGATGGCCTAAGGGGCACCTGGGGCATCAGGTAGAATATCTGAGACCAAGTATAAAACAAAGGAAGGGTGGATGATAAGGAAACAGCTATGGCTTCCACCAGCTCCCGGGAGCCTTGCAGATAAGCACCTGCATCTCAGGGAGCAGAGAAGGCAGCCTGCCAGAAGAGAGAGCACAGCCAGGAGGTAGGAAGAAACCCAGCAGGAGGTTGAGGGAGCCAGGGAAGGAAGCGTCCAAAGGGAGCCTGAGGTCAAGGCAAAGAAAGTCAAGCTGAGAAAATGTGTTCATTGTGTTTAGCCAAGGAGAGGTCACTGGTGATGGTAAAACTGAATCAGAGGCATGGAGGGCAGGGAAAGAGACCGGCCGGGGAAGACCGGCCGGCCGGGGAGGGCGGGTCTATGAGCCTCTACTGCATATGCTCCCCCATTAGCAAGTCCTGATCATGTGAGAAGCCAGGGAAGGGGGCCACACTGGCAGACTCTGGTAAAGTAAGGCAACCATCTGTCTGTAGGGTGGGGTCTTGGGGAGGCAAGAGAGGACAGAGCCCCGTGCTTTGGACAGGAGGAGACCCCTCAATCTCTGACCTAAGAGGGGAGAGGCAAGCCCACCCTCAGGATCACAGGATATTTGGCATCTCTTGCACTGCAGAACTTGTGGGGAAGGGCGCCGCTAGCAGCCTGGTGCTGAGTCAGCAGTGGGAAGAGAACCAGCCGTTCCAGCTGGAAGCCCAGCCTCCAGTCACCAAGGCCAAGCAAGCAGCAGCTCTGGGGTCTCTGCACCCCCACCCGACCCACCCCACTCTTGTCCAACAGGTTCCACAGGTCTACAGAGGGGCCTCAAAGGGCAGACTGGTGGTGAAATCATTTTCCCAAGAATGTAAGTATCTACAACACCCCCCTCCCGCCCCACCCCATAGACACCTGTCCCTGCACACTGCAGGACCCACCCCCCACGGTACCCCAAGGGACTGGACAGAAGTAGCTCTTATATAGTGTTGGCCAGATTCCTGCTAATGGGTATCTACAAAGAGGAGGGTAGAGTATAGGGCTGAGCCAGGACACCCAGGTTCCCCTGCTTCTGACTCCCCTAGTCTCAAACTGCAAACACTTCTGGCCTGGGAAAGGGTCTCTGCTATGCTTCAGATTAAGGAGCTATCCTAATACAACCTCTAATCCATCACAAGGACAGGACTCAGCCTGGTGTAGTAGAAAGAGGCTCTCAAACTTACACAATGGCTGAGGGCAGTGATCAAATTAACATCTGAGCTCGGGGTCCCTTCCTGCCATCCAGGGCTCTGTCCACAAAGCATCCTGGCCTTGAAGAGGATAACTTGCAACAAGTGTTATATCCCAGGGGATGAGCCTCACTGGACGCATCTCAGCCAGATGGCGGGAAGAAAAGGGCATAAGGCCTGAGATGAACACCCAGTGGGACTTTCACAGATGGCAGAACCCTGAGAGGAAAGGACTGAGCCCAGATGCACTGGAGCAAGCTCTTCTCCTAAGCCCTCGCCCACCCCGAGGCTGCTAATCTGTTCACTGGGTAGCCACTGCCTTCCTCTGTTTGAGGCAGCCTGGCTCAGGCATAGCTGGGAGAACCCTCTGTGTGCTTACACCAAAACAGAGATTACACTAGAGCCCCAGGGCTGGGGATTGGTCCTGATGAGCTAGCCTCCTACTCCCACAGTCTCAGTTCTCTTTTAGTGAAGGGGAGGTGCCCGGTGAGGGAGCCCAGGCCTGGGAATTCAGCGGGGGAGGCAGGAGATGAGGTAAATGTGGCTTCAGAGACTGAGCGATGGGACCCCTCTTGGTGGAAAGTTTTGACTTTTTTTTCGAAGGGAGCAATAACATTGCAAGACCGGTCCACAGGGACACAGGAGCTCACACGTGGGTTCAGCACAACCCACACAGGGCAGAGCCCCTGTCTAGGACGGTTAAAGCTGCTGCCCCAGCCCATCTCCACTCACACCACAGCTTTTGAGGACTCTGTCCAAACTTCTCCCCAAAGCATTAAGCCCCCTTATCACACTGGCTCTGGGAAAGGCAGGCAGATAAGGTGAGTCTGCTTTCTCTCACCATGGGGCCTCTGACACCCAGCTCTTGGCAGTTATTACCAAGGGACTGTATTGCTTTGACCATGGGGACCCAGAGGCTCCAGTTTAGCTGAGGATGACATCTCCAGGGAACAATTCCCTGCCAGCCTCCTGGGCCTAGGCCTGACCTCAGGCTGCAGCCATCCCCTCCAGCCTCCTGGTTCCCTCCTCTGGGATGGACAACAGCAATGGTTCTTCAGACAGTTTTGTTAATCAGATCAACTAGCCTGTTCACTGCACTGGGCCAATAGGCTGGGCCAATTCCCCTCGGTTTATTATTTTACTTTTAATTATATGTAAGGGAAGGAGGGGGTACCAGTGCCCACAGAGGATAGAGCCATTGGATGCCCTGGAGCTAGAATTACAGGCAATTGTGAGCTGCCTGGTGTGGGTGCTGGAAATGGAAATCAGGTCCTTTGTATGAGCAGTGTGTACTCTTTGTTTGTTTATTCTGTTTTGTTTTGTTTCGAGACAGAGACAGGGTTTCTCTGTGTAACAGTCCTGGAAATCCTGGATCTCACTATGTAGACCAGGATGGCCTCAAACGCACAGATATCTGCCTGCCTCTGCCTCCTGAGAGTGAGGACTAAAGGCATGGGCCACCACTACCCAACTCACACCTTGGTTTAAACATGGGGAAACTGAGGCCCAGGTGACAGCAAATGTTTCAAAGTCCCTCTTGTCTGCTCTAAGCAAAGTGCTTGTCTCTCAAACCTCTTGCAGAGTCCTCCCTAGGTATTTCACCAGACTGCCCTCTCCTCTCCCCTTCCAAGGCTTCCTTGACTACGTCACCATCTCTTAGTCATATGCGGTTAGGTCTGTGTGTTTAAAAGGGATGAGCTGATCAATATTTACATGCTGAGCCACCCTACCTCTAGCCCTCATTACTCCTACAGAGGGATGGTAGGGTATCCGCCTCCACAAGGTCTGGTCACAAACCAAGAGGGTCAGCCACCACTGGCTTGTAGGTGTAGGATGAGACCCTCACAGCAAGGCCTCTGCCACAGACATGGGAGTCTGAGAAACCACACAGCCCTCCTTCAAGCACCCATATGGGACTCTGTCCATCATCCTTGTTCATGACCAAGCTGTACTCTCTACCACCAACTATCTCAGAGCCTGTGTGGGTGCTCCTGTAAGGATGCACAGCCATAGTACATCTGGGGGTCAGACAGAGGGAAGTAGCCTCAGCCCCAAAGAGCTGGTAAGCAAGGTCTGTGCAGCCTCTGAGGCCATCCTCCACCCACAATGCTCAGCTATACTTTCTGCTTACTGCCCCTGATCCTCATACTGCTCTGCGACTCCTGGGCCTCTGTCCTCAGTCCCTGCAGGCTGGAGCATCCCTACAGACCTCAGCCTCTTCCACAAGTCTCCCCAGCACCAGTCTCTGCCTCTGTCTCATGTGCAATGAGCGCTTGCCTGCTGACTCCTACTCTGTAACTCCTATCCCAGACAGTTCACCCACACAGCACAGCCCCAACTCAGACCCACCCTTTCTGCTAGGACCATCACAGTTAAGTTGCCTATGGGGGCTAATTCCCTAGAATTGAGACATTCCCTCTTAGAGGGAAGGGGTTCATAAACCTCCTCTCTGAACATAGGATGCTTGGAAGCTAAGGAAGTTACAAGACGCACAAGGTCCCTCCCTGAGGTTATATGAACAGTAAACAACCAATGGAGAGAGGACTCTCTGGTGGAGCTGCCTGCAAGCTGCTCGGGACCTCTGTGGAAGCAACTTTCATAAGTCATCACCCATGCTATCGTGGGCTTTTGATGTCACAGCTGCCTTTGAGTCACCATGCTTCCGTAAATAACCCCAATAAACTAATTGGTTCACCGCCAGTCCTGGGTGCTCTCTCTGGAGTGAAAAGATGTTTGTTCACGTCTCCTGGGGAAAAGTGGCAGACTTATCTCCATTCACCCTCAAACCTACCATGCATCCCTGAGGGAGGGTACCAGGTCCAAGGAGGACCCTGTTCCTTCCCACCCAGCTCCCCTGCTCCCCTACCTGATGAATAATGGCAAATCCGCCAGGTGGTGGTGGCATATGCCTTTAGTTCCAGCACTTGGAAGGCGAGGCAGGCAGATCTCTGTGATTTTGAGACCAGCGTGGTCTACAAGAGCTAGTTCCAGGACAGCCTCCAAAGCCACACAGGGAAACCCTGTCTCAAATTTAAAAAAAAAAGTCATAGCTGGAGAAACACACACACAAGTGTTCTTGCACACGCACTCACATGGGATTCAGATTATTTTTCTTAAAACTGCCTTTGCAAGTTACAAATGGGTGTTAAAACTTCCGAAGCATATGATGACACGGTGTAGTAGACACATGTGAACTCATGGTAGCAGTTTTATACCAGGAACATGTGACTCATCATATTCATGGGACAGATTTAAATGTTTCCATATTTCTAGACACTTCACATGGAACACTGGGACACCAGTTCTGTCCCCAGGAAGCCTATCTCCTCTGCCTAGCATCAAGGGCTTTCCCAACCCACACCTCCCTTATACACTGGAAAGCTCCACTCCAGCTTGCGAGCACTTTCCACCACTCTGAGGCAGCATGCGCAGTGCCCCATTTGCATCAGGAGAGCATGACCAGAGCCTCCATCATCAAGCCCTCCTCACATACCCACTGCAAAGGACCAGAGTCTAGACCAGGGCATCTCTGCTCACTCTGTTGCCACTGCTCAGTCTGGAGCCATCTCCACCCAGGCTGAGACCTCCAGGAGTAAGGACTTATCTGATCCCCTCCTCCCATGACCCAACAGATCTGAGGGCCTGAGAGAATGCAGAGGCTGGGAGCAGGTGCAGGGTACTCAGACCCAGGCCCTGGAAATCCACCCCCAGAGCACATACCGGGTCAAGATGGAAAAATCCCACCTAAGGGCCACTGCACACACCATGGAAACATTCTAACCAGGCTCTGTCACTCCAGGAGGCCGTGCCCAAGGCAGTAAGACTGGTTCACACCGGCCTCTGCCCAGTCACTGACCCCAGAAACTTAGACACAGCTAAAGGCCCGTTGCTGCCTCCCCTCCCCCTTTTCCCAGTAAAGGCTCTGCCCCCTGCAATGTTGAGTTCTCAAACACAGTTGCTGAGCAGCCTGGACCAGACTGCACCACATGCATACCCACACACAACGGCAACTCAATCGAGGTTAATCTACAACCCGAGCGGTCAGGCCTCAGTGAAGCAGCAACACCGGACGCGTGAATAGAACCGGTGTAGGGGGCAGGTAAGGGGGTGCTGACCATTCCAACTCGTAGATGAGGGCCGAGGTGACAGTGAACCATCAAAGACAGAACCTTGGCGTCCAAATTCTTCAAGTCATGGGACAGAGGGGTGAGGGCAGAGATCTCAAGGCAAACACCACCTGCCTCCAAAGAAGGGAGCGGTGCAAGACAGGTGCGGAGGGCCAACTAAAACAATGTTTCTCCTGTTCTTTCCAGCTCTGAAGAGCTGGTGTAACTCCAGCTACTAAGTC